GGCCCTGCAATCCATAATAAGAGTGCTATAAGGGTGAAACCTGTTGACAGTACCAATCAAAAGAAGATAAACAACCTGACAATCAGTTTCAACAATAACAGAGTGGAAGTGATGAGAAACAACAATATTGAGACCATCCCTAATGGCATATAATTCTGCAACAAGTGCAGTAGTAGAGCCAATATTGCGTGTGAAACCAATAACCCAGTGCCCTTGATAATCCCTTAAAAGGCCTCCACAACCAGCATGATTGGGATTACCAACAGTAGATCCATCAGTGTTGAGTTTGAGCCATCTTGGAGGAGGAGGGTCCCAACCAATGAACCTAGTAGCCTTAGTACTTTTAGTTGAAGGAGGGGATTAGAAGACCAAAATTTCGTAGCTCGTTCCACAATCAAACAAAAGGTCCTCTGAGGATCAAGGTTATGCTATTTGTAAAGAACCAGATTTCTCAGATTCCAAATTACCCAAATGGCAAAGCAAAAAATAATGGCCCATGGGATATTAAAGATAGGGCTAGGAGACATATTTTGAGAGTGATGGCGAAGCCAACTTTCAAAATCAGAATCATTATGGTTAGTAAGATGAGGGGAGAGTTTGTGGAGGGTAGAAGCAGTAGGGGGACAGCTTCGAAAGATATGCTCAATGGACTCAATTTGCCTTTTACATATTTTGCAAACAGGATCATCAACAATCCCTATATGGTGAAGGAACTCCAAGGTTTTGATCCTACCATGTGCAAGTTGCCACAAAAACATTTGGATTTTTGGGAGTGTAGGGGTAGTCCAGATCCAATTCCAATCTAAAGGCAGCTGAGTAAATATAGGAATGAGGTTTCTATATGCAGAGGCAGTAGAAAAAATACCATTAGATTTCCTTTGCCAAGAAAACCCATCAGCAATAGAAGGGAGATTCGATAGAGGAATAGCCAGGATCTCCCTAACCAAGTCACTAGGCAAAGTGTAACCAATAGCATCCATGTTGATGGCACCATTACTGAGAGCATTAGAGAGAAGAATAGACTCTGCATTTTCGATGAGTGGACCAAATAAAAAAGACCTTAAGGGTGCA